CATGTACACCATAAGCAACTACCATGTTGACCAATGACCCATATGTCATCCATGGGTAGACCATGGACACCATAAGCAACTACCGTGTTGACCAATTACTCATATGTCATCCATGGGTGATACCATGACACCATAAGCAACTACTATATATATTGACATGACCCGTACGCCTTTTGTATATAAATTTTGGTTTAAACATAAAAGCATAAAAATGAATAGTTTATTAATGTTTAATCATCGTTTATAATTTTAAATTAAAATTATACTATGAACACCTCGTTAGTGTATGTTCTTTCTTGACGTTAGCTAGATATATACCCTATCTATCAATCTGGAACTACTTTAATAAATTATAATTACTAAATATTTAGCAGTAATTAGCACAGTTCGAATTTTTGATTAACGGAGGTTCAAAATATTTCACAATTCTTTTCCCTCCAACCTACACACGTTTAGGTTGCATATTAGGGTAAGTTTACTGTTTAGAAATAGGGTTTACATTTTCTGTAATCATCTCCGGCTGCTAATTGATCGAAATCTTTGTTCATTATATGTTTGTGCACTGACTTTGGCCATATAGGTTGTCACCCATCTAAAATTAATTTTTATTTAATCTACTGTTATCGTGATGATCGTTTATTGTTCTCTGATCATCTTCATGTATATTATCATCTTAAATTACAAGTAAATTGGTTTTTATTGTATTCAATACTTTTCATGCGTAGTAATGCCTTCATATATAATTTATTTTTAGTTTATCATCTTTAATACATTGGTATTGACTACAGTTTTTTCTTAATTTTTAAGCAAGAAAGATGTCGAACTCGAGAGCAAAAGGAGCATCCGGTGTGAAGCCAACTAAATTCATTGCACCACAGGTTATGAAACGCAATAGGATTTCAGCTGTAAAATTAATGATAAACAGACAATTACAAGATGAAGAAATCGACTACCTAATAGTAACAACCACATCCAAAGTACCTATAACATCTACCAACAAAACCCCTAAACCTATATCATTAACATCAACCATGACTACCACTTCCTCGGCATCACTTACAACATCCACACCGTCCTTAGAAAATACATCTAAAACTTCATAAACTGGAACAATACAAGCCTCAACACTTACATCAATAACCAAAACTTCAGCACCTACATCATCTAAACCATCCTCAACACCGACACCCACTACCAAATCATCAACACCTATATCTAATACCACAACCTCAAAACCTGCATCTACACTACCATCCTCCACAACTATAATAACTACCACACCCTCCTTAAGTAAAGGAACTACCACATCCTCAACGTATACATCTATCCCAACACCTACCCCAAAATATACCCCATCAACAACAACTATCCCAGAATCTACCCCATCACCAACACAACCAACCATGAATGGATCTGTAGTGGAAAGTGTAGAAGGTGAAAACAATTACTCTGAAGATTGTGGACCAGATGGACGTTTAAATGTTCATGTTTGGAAAAAAATGTGAGTTACCAATCAAATCTTAATTATACGTTTTCTATGTATAACCTTTTGGTTTACACGTGCATATCAATTCATAACTTAACATATCACATGATTAATTACTTGCAGGCTAATGCCACCAGGCCCTTGTGCGCACTTTATTAGTCGGTCCTTTTTACAAAGAGGAGATCCAGAAGGGTAGGCTTGGGGGAAAGTAAGCAAAGAAATTCGCGAATTATATTGGGAGGAGTTTCAGGTAATTAACTATATGTGATAAAATGTTGTTTGGTAAACATTTACACTTAAACTTATGTTTATATTGTTAATGTGTAGAAAAAATGTTGTTGGGATGAAACAATAGACTCGCTGGTGAGGCAAGCTTGGGCAAGGAAAGTGACACAAAGTTATGGTCAATATCTCTTCAACATGCGGAGCCCAAAAAGAAACAAACATGGCTTTAAACCAGCTCATATTCCACAGGAAGTATGGAACTCCTGGCAATTAAAATGGAATATAAAAGAATACAAGCTAAAATCTGAGCAGAACAAGAAAAATAGGCGTAAAGGTGTGGCTGATGGAGTAGCAAAACCTACACATAACGTTGGATCAGCAAGTCATTTGAAGATAGCTTCTGATTTGGTAATTTTTTTAATGGTACATCGTATCAATGTTTATATATGTTTGTCTGTATATTTGATATTTTGTATGGTATTTATGCTGGAGAGGAAATTAGGACGTGATGCACCCCATAGTGAATTGTTCCTGTATACACACATGAAGAATCACGATGGAGTCACTTTCGCAAATGAAAAAGATATACACATTCATGTAATGTTCATTTCAGTGTTAAACTTTTATATTGTAGCTACTCCATAATATCATTCATAAATTTGATATCTTTTAACTTATAATATTTTTATTTTGTAGGCGGCCCATACAGAAAAACGGAAGAGTTGGAAGCTGAAGGTGTTGAATTTGAGGAGGACAAGCTATTTTATGCTGTTGTTGGTGGTCATGATAAAAAAGAAGACTTTATGGATTAGGCTCTTTTGCAAAGGCGGTTCCCAATAGGAAAGGTAAAACGGATGTATCTTACATTCCGGAAAAAAATGATGAAATAGAAGAAATGAGGGAGCTTGTTGCTAAACGAAAACAACAAAACAAAGAGCTTAAAGAATTGATGAAAGCCCAACAAGATGAAAACAAAGCAAGGGTCAGGCATCTTGAAAAACAACTTCAAACGACATTGGATCTTATTAATGTCTTTACAAAACAACAACAGTAGTAGGTTGATATATGTTTATTGCAGATTATGTATTTTAGAGTAGCAACTTTCTTTTTTCCATGTAATAAATAAATATTATATTATTTTATGATATAACGGTTTTGATTTTTTTGTTTTTTTTTTTTTGTTTTTCATATATTACTACAAAATAATTTGGATATAATTTATAAATCAATTATCCATCGGTCCATATGGAATCTGGTATATAATATACACCACTAAAATTGCTAGGGATTCATGACCACAAAATTTGCTAGGAAGTCATCAAACGGAATTTGCTAGGGATTCATGACCACAGAATTTGCTAGGAAATCATTAAACGGAATTTGCTAGGGATTTAGAACGACAGAATTTGCTACGAAATCACCACCACGGAATATACTAGGGAATGACCACCATGGAATTTACTAGGGAATGACCACCACAGAATTTACTAGGGAATCACCACGACAAAATTTGCTAGGGATTCATCACCACAGAATTTACTAGGGAATCACCACCACGGAATTTTCTAGGGATTCATCACCACAAAATTTGCTAGGGAATGACCACCACGGAATTTGTGATGGAATAACTACTACGTATTGTGCGATGGAATGATACTACGGAATGCAAAACAGATTACCACCTACCACGGATTTCACTCCGTTGTCACATTTGTGACGGAATTATCGTTTTCGTTGCAAACCCTCGCTACGGCGTTTTTAGGAACGGAAATTAGTCGTTGCAAATTTCGTCGCTATTCGTCATTTGCAACGGAATTTCAGCTTTTCGCAACGGATTCCTTCCGTAGAAAAAACGCGTTTTTCTTGTAGTGTCCTAGATTCTTTTGAGATTCATTGAACTTTTCAATGGCAAGTTTAACCTCGATTATGCCCTTCAAGTTTGTGACTGGGATACCGAGGATCACAAACAAGGTGTGAATAACCATATAAATTAGCTTGGTACTCTCGATGTCATTAACCAACAAATCAATGTGCCAGTTAACCACACACGTTCCATTGATCATTGATAATTTTCGAGAAACCCATTGCCATCCTTCATTAGTCCATATTAGTGTGCCGGTTAACCACACACGCTCCACTAACTGACCAATAAGGTGCAATGTGCAATTTCATGGGTTAGCATCAAATTCACATTTTTCCTAAAGTAACTAAGATTACGAATTTATAAAGTGTTTAGTGACTTTGTATTTCATTATACTTTTAATGAGGATTTAAGTGTCCTATCAAACCTATTCGACTAACGACCCTCCACTGGTCAAGAGTGCGGTGGGTAAGAGTGGATACCCAATGACGGTCATTTTACAGGCCGCTTCCTTAAACACCCCTTATAAACCAGCTTCATGAATGAGGCCTACTAATGGTAAGACTAACTTTTTTAACTTATACATATGTATAATATATTAAACTTTTAATTTTATATAGTAAGGATGTATTTTAAACTCTTAAAATACTTTGTGGTTTAATATATTAATTACATTATACTCTTAATTTAATTAAACTTAAGTCATGTGATTATGGATTTATTAATCTTCTCTTTTAGTTAAACATTTAATTAATTTAATGAAATCCATAAA